AAAATTTAGGCACTGTGTGAAATGATTTTACAACTGCTTAACATTAAAAAATTTTCAATTTCTGAGAATGAACTTGCAGCAAATGCAATGATGAAAAAATTTAAATGATTAAGTAATGAACCACTGCATCTTAAAACCAGCCAAGAACACAATAAACACATTAACAACAAAGGCTACCATAAACAGTACTTGATCTAGTACATTGAGTTATTTTTGCTTAGTTAATTTTAGTTGCAATTTACATTTACAACATGCAAATCCAAGCAAGAAAGATACAATCATAAAAAAGCTGGGGCTGACAAAATTCTTGGCCAGGTTCACTGGTGAGGGTCAGAACAGGAAACTTGCAGTATGCATCATATTATGGGTTGGTTCATGCCTACTTTTCATCAATTTGGCATGCAATATTTAAAATCAGGTGAAGAGCTGCTGTGTCCACTGAAATTGGTTGAAAATGAACAACTGTTGCTCATCAGGAACAAGTATGGCAAATTTGGTGATAACATGTCTTTTCCATTGCTGTTTACGACATTTGGAAGTTACCTTAGACTGAGTGCTATGAAATAATGTAACAATGATGTATGAAACTGAAAGACATTTTGATTTGGTGATGATTTATGCAAAAACAGAGAATAGTTTACAGCAATCTAGTATGATTACAATGAAAGACACCCAAATAGGCCATGACTGTTGATCTACCACATTTCAGATTTTATAGCATAATTTAGGGGAACCAGCAGTGTTCTCAATTTAAAAAAAACCGGCACCACAGGAGAAGCTGGCCAACCAGCACTTCTGGCTCTAGTGTCCATACAGATGCAACAAAAGATGAGAATGATGTTGAGAACTGTGGATATTCATGAATGGTCAATCAGAAAGGAAAATTAAATTTTCCAAAAATTTTTAAGGTTCCTGACTTTGGCCCCACTCTGTAGAAGAAACTTCTTGAATTTTGAAGGTATGACTGTCACTCCTCCTGGGTAGTTTTGCAATGATGGAGAAACAGACCAATTGTGCTTCCAATCACCCTTGTGTTTCTAAAATATAAACTTCTAATACGAGTCTGATTTCTCTTCCATCATGCAGATAAAAAGGTCCCCTGCTTAGAAATCAGCTACAGTAAGTACACACAAAGTAAGCAGAGTTTAATTGACTTCAAATAACTTGAACATGCCCAGCAAAATCTCTAAAACCATGTGATGCTCTGTATATTTTGCACCTGATGCATACCTGTCATGTGAATCCCCATTTCAATGAGCAATGTAGGCTTGCTGTAGTGTTACAATCGACGTTAACCTCTCTAGCGTGGAACTTCTCAGACAGAAGTCCACCCCACAAAATATAATTATTTATTGGCAGAGTTATAACTAGTGTTTGTATATAGAAATTTACTACTCTTTTTCAAATAATAAATTTCCATATAGGCAGTAAACTTCTTTAAGAGTAGTAATTTTCTACATGAGTAGCAAAATTCATATTGCTAATCAAATTACATGTGAAGTTTGTATTAAACTCACACTCAAAAAACCATGTGACATGTACAGGGTGTTTCAAAAGTAACTGTGCACTGAATCGAAATAACTATTTCGCATTTTCAGTAATTTTGCTATGGATTTGCTGCTGAACAGTTCATGAATTTCAGATCAAAATGGTCTTCTGCTACCTCTGATTTGTTTTGTGGTGTCTTTGTTTTATTTAATCACTAGTAATAAGTCGCTTTTTTCTGAATGACTTATCTTTATAGATGAGACTGGTTATATCTCTCCTGTATAGTTACTTTTGAAACACCCTGTACATGCATCAAAGCCATCTAGGAAGCATCTTGCCATGACAGATATACATGGTACACACACTGGAGAGGTTAATATATAAAAAAGGTAATGATTCTAAATAGCATTCATGATCATGCAAACAATTTTCATGACAGTCATTATGGGTTAGTCATTGCAAACAGGTAGAATATCAGATGAGCAGGCCAAAAAATTCTTTATGTATGACACTAGCAAATTCAAATCAATGCAGATGCATGAAAATTCAATCACAACAGTAGGGCAAATATTGGACTCCAGTACTGGAATACACCAGAACCAGTAATGGTACTTTATTCTCCAACGTTCTCCAGGACAATGAGACGAAGAAAGCTCTTATAACATTTCTAACACAGAGCAGAAGTGGGGATCAATGCAATGGGGAGGATTTCAAAAGGACTCATCTGGATCACATCTCACAGCTTTAATATCCAACAATGTACTATTCTTCAGTTCTAAGGAGATTCAAGGCCATGGGGGTTTCTCTCCAGATGCCAGTTCCCTGTGGTACAGAGCACTATGACAGCAATATGTTGAGGCCCGCCTGGACTCCTCTTGCTGCACCAGGTATCCCAGAAATCCACCAAAACTGATGAAGCTGATAATTGACAGGAACTTTCTGTCCAACCCAAAGATGGCATACATGTATCTCCCCATGTCTGCAGGGGATGTAGAAAATCTGAAATAAATGAAATAAGTTTTAGGGAGTGCAGATAAGTAACTTAAAGCTTCCCATCTTCAAAACATTGATGAGATAGGATTAGGGTTGCCAACTGCTCATAATTGGTAAGGACAGTACATATTTCAGATGCAATGTTCATACTGCAAACTAGTCTCAATACTAGCAGTTTTCTTCAATTATACACTTGTAAAGATTTTTTTTAAGTAATAAACCACAACAGCAACTAAAATCACTCCTTTTCATAAACCAAAAGCAGTAGGCCACAAACTTATTGATTGGTGTCTTGGTTTAAGGTGGCTGTGGATATTTCCAACATAGCCCCATATGCAAGCATGCTTCAAGTATTTGTCTATATTTCCAAATATTGATGTTTCAATATTTTTTTAAATTCAAAGGTAGCAACCCTAAGTAGGAACAAGCCACATAAGTCTAATTTAAGCATCTTGCAACATAGAAGCATTAGTTGGATAACCTTAGTTTGTAAACAGTATGGGAAGACTTGGTTTTCATTTCTACCATACAAGGTAAACATATTGGGATTTTCATCCCAAACCTAATAAATAAATCTGATCATGCCAGTAATGAGGCAGAGTCAATCAGGACCATGTCAACAGTAGCTATCCCTTTTGTCCTGAGCTTAAACTTCACACAAAAACTGCATTAGGTTAAAAAGTTACAAGCCATCATCTGAAGCCCTTACTTTGCAGAGCAACAGGGCAAAGTATGAGTCTATACAGTGGATGCGACACCTACTCATACTTCCGGAGAGAACTCGCAAAAGATTTTTTCGTTTATCTAGACCTACGACACAACTATAACCGCTAGGGAAGAACTTCGAAAGTCTTCGCCTTGTAACCATCACCCCGCTTCCGTCCTAACTCTGGACCTATTCCCATACAAACCATTTTCATGCGAGTCGCCATCTTGGCCGTGCCGTGGCTGGCCGCCTACCTTCCCGCGGCAGAAGTATGGATTCGAGACCGGGTCGACAGATGTCGCAAAGTTTGAGCATGCCAACGTGACGATCTCCGGTTCTTGCATCAGCCGTACCTTCGCAGATTCTTTTTCCTCTGCTAACTTCTGAAATAGTTTCATAGTGGCATTTCTAATTCAACCCTAAGCGCCTCGTTCTTCTACTCTTCCCGTGCCGCATTGAACACTTATCCTTAAGTTGAGGGCCTAACTTGGACCCTAAGTTTACTCCACCGCCCTTCGTCTACCCACGTCCTGTTGGACTTACTGCGCTATTCGTGAGCTGCGTAATACTTAACCTCGTACATTAGGCCAATTTTTGAGACCGAATCAATCATATTCTGAAGAAAAGCCGTTGCGTTCCGAGACCAGGTTCCGTCGTAAGTCTATTCTCTAGAGTGTGCTTAACGTTAGGTCTAACGGTGACCTGCTTCCCATTCACACAAAACCAGCTACTGACTAAGCTATATCCAGGGAACCTTTGGGCTAAGTTTCTTTAGGGCAGACCAGACCCATTTTAATTGTAAAGGAGCTGCCTAGGCATAACTGTCTTAGAATTTAAGGGAGGAGTTTCCAATTGAGGCAATAATATGCCAAATCCACATCTAACCATTGGGCTTCTTTTCTCCATGGACACAGTTGAAGTGACCGACTCTCATATTTGCAAAAACATAGACAGAAAGTGGACAGGGAAGTAAAGCATAAATTCACATTCATGTATGAATCAGTTTTGGGCTATCAGTTCTCATTGTTCCATGCATTTAGATGTTCATGTGGACTTTCACTTCAAAGAAAAACACAGAGCCATGAATATACTCGCCTTGGTTATATATTTGACCTCCTAAGAGTAGCCATGTGTGCTTTGAACCTGCCTCTTTCCCCACAATAATAAGCATGGTTCTTGATCACTAGGAATCTGTAAATTCCTTAGTAGTCCTTCAGAACCTTAATGGTGACTGATCTCTTATGCTAACCTCATCATAGGCTTCCAATTGGTGATTTGGAGCTACTGTAGCAAAGTCTGCTGACTTAGGTACAATGAAAACTGCCTATTTGATACCCATGCATTGGGGAAAAAAAAAAAGCAGAATGAAGCCAAGACTTCAGGTTAAAAAAAATCAGGAGGAGCGTTTGAAGAACAACTTTCTCCATCAACCCAGTCCATGCTACTTGATGAACACCAAGTGACTTGTAATTATTGCAAATACTAGAGAGGTACAATAGGGTACTGGGTGCATGAGGCTCTTGGCTTATGATTACACCCTAACCCCAGAAAACCAGTTAGTCTACCCTTCACTATTGAATTACCCTTGTCAGACCATGTACCAGGAAGTGGCAATTACATTCCTTTTTATGATTAAGAATGAAGCAGCTTGAGCAGCTCCCAGAGAGGACAAGGTTTTTGTACATAGGTGTATGTTTTGTTCTAGAGGTATGGCAGCCAATTCTGAAGTTATGCTGTAGTTGTAAGAAAATAAAACCTCAACTGGTTCCATTATATTTTGCAGATTTTAAATTATATAAGTTAAAGCTTGAAGATGGCAGAGGAAGAAATGATTTTCGATCCAGCAATGAAAAAGAAGAAGAAGAAGAAGAAAGCATTTGATGTGGATGCAGCCCTTGCAGAAGCTGAAGGAGGACCTAGGGCGAATGAATCAACCCCAGTGGTGGAACCCAGCAATACCAGTATTGATACCGCAGATGGAGATGGAGGAGAGGAAGTTACGCAGCCAGAAACATCCATCAAGGATGATCTTGATGATCTTGACTTTGAAAAGCTGGGCAAGAAGAAGAAAAAGAAGAAAGCATTCAACTTGGATGAGCTGGAAGGGGCTCTGCCTGATACAAAAGAAGTTGGTGATGATCAGAACGAGGGTGATGATATCATGAAGGAAGCAAAGAGCGACAATTTTGACCTGGACATGGATTTCTCCTTGGAGAAGAAGAAGAAAAAGAAGAAGAAGAAGGATCTGGACGATCTGATATCTGACGATCTTGGTAGGGATGATGCCGGAACTGATGCAACTGACAGTTCAAAACCAGTCTGGACTGACAGCGACAGAGACTACACTTATGACGAGTTGCTCACGCGGGTCTTTGACATCATGAGAGAGAAAAATCCAGACATGGTTGCTGGGGAGAAGAAGCGCTTCGTAATGAAGCCACCTCAGGTGGTACGAATTGGGACAAAGAAGACATCCTTTGCCAACTTTACAGAAATTTGCAAGATGTTGCATCGGCAACAAAAGCACTTGCTCCAGTTCCTCCTGGCTGAATTGGGAACTCAAGGATCCGTAGATGGGAACAACCAGCTGATCATTAAGGGCAGATTCCAGCAAAAGCAGATTGAGAACATCCTTAGGCGTTACATCAAGGAATATGTGACGTGTCACACGTGCCGGTCCCCCGAGACCATCCTTTCCAAGGACACGAGACTCTTCTTCCTCCAGTGTGAAACGTGTGGATCCAGGTGTTCAGTTGCCAGCATCAAATCTGGCTACCAGGCTGTGACTGGAAAACGTGCTGCTCAACGAGCCAAGAATGCATGAACATAGTCCTGGATATTAGAATGAAAAGCTTTCTGGGTTGTATGGTTCTGGAGCTCTTTTTTTTTTTCAAATTTAATTTTCTTTGGAAGCTTGTGCAACTGAAGTGTCTTCTGTCATTCATATCAAAGTTATTTCCACGTTTCCCCTCTGATTTTTTCATGGCAGTTCTTGGCATTTGTTCACTATGATCATTCTTGTATTGAGATTGGAGTTTCATGTATTAAAAGAGCTCTTTCATCCTTGCATTCATTTTTTAATTGATTGAAACTACCAGGATTGATTCAAAATAATTTATTTCACCCTTTATCAAAACGTGCCACCAACATAAGGATCTCCAAGATGTACAGTATGGGATGAAGGGGCAACATCATGTAAGCTTGCTCTTTTTTAAAATCACGACACTCAAGAAGGAGAATTGAGACAGGAGGCTTCTCTGGAACTGGATGGCACACCTGCATTTCCTTCTTAATCCTCTCAGATGAAGAGCAAGAATTGCACTGGTGAATGAACATGAAAAAGAAATGGAAGTGAGTTCATACAGCAGAAATTTAATTTAGGCTGCAAGCGATGAAATGCTGGCTAAAAGGTCTTCTTGCTTTGATGCTTTCAATAACACCAACACTAAGGATCATTGATATTGGTTGTGTACTAAGATTGGCAGCCAGCTCATAAGATGGGCAAAGTGCTACTCCCTGAAATGGACATCACTTGACAGCAGTCCTACTCCATTTTTCTAGTGTTTTTCATCGAAGTCAGACATTTCTTCATTTCACTTGCACACCAATGCACAAGATTAACCCCATGGCAGTGATGTCCAAGCCAAGTGAAAAGCATGAAGCCTACTGGGGATGAAGCAAATTGAGGGGGTGAAAGGAAATAGCATGTAACAAATTCTGTCTGGTTTTGACACTGTTCTACACTTGAACCTATGAACCCTGGTCCTATGCACCTTTTTTTCTCCAAGTAATGGATTTGGCAAACTTCATTTTAAGAGCAAAGGCCAGAATTAGAATGAGCCAGATGCAGGAGTGCTTCAGATGGGTTAATAAGGATGAATGCAAATTCACCAAGTATTCTTGTACTTGGCACACATTTCTGTTGAGATGAGGAAAAAGAATCTTGTTTCCTACAAACAAGGTCAGAATGGAATATGCTATTTCCACTTACCCCCTCCCAATTGAGAAATGTGGGATGAATGAGCACAAGAATAATGGTAGCAACATCCATGTGCAACTCAATGCTATAAAGTTTTTCTCAAAAATAACACTGAAAAATGATAACAACAAGGAACAGCTTGAGATGCCAAAACGCCAGTCAGTCATCGATTGCAGTAATGCACAAAATGAACAAAAGGTTTTCAACTTGGACAGTGTATTTCACTGGTCTTGTCATAAGATGAAATGAGTATACAAAAATGCAAAGGACTAAAAGGAGCATTGCACTGTGAACATTATGGCCAAGGTAAAGATCCCTAACAAAATGACCCATGCATACCCAACATTATGCTTGAAGAAACTTGAGAACACATCCATGGAGGCTGAAGAACAGATTCCTAGTCAGATTATATTGGCAAGGACCACTTGGGAATCCCTGAGGGAGAGCAAATAATGAAAAAAAAAATTGAGATGAAGAGTTCTGTCTGATGCCAAACATTGGTATGTATGACGTGTGACCAGAAAGAAAGTGGGTAATAATTCTTAAGGAGTCCTGCAATGTGTATCACAGAGACCTTGTGAAACAGGAAGAGTATGCAGAGAAGGGAAAAGATGAGATTCCCCTAGAAAAAGAGGTGTCGATAATGAGAAGGGGTGACAGAAGATGATGAGGGTGGAGGGGGGCGTCGATCACCCAGACCCAGATCTAGGTCGAGTTCATGTTCCTCAACATGTAGGCTTCGTAAGGAGGATGTGGCCAAGGCAATGTCTGGCATTGTGTCAGACAGGTGACCCTCTGAACAGGAACTTGCATCTCCCTGCAACATCAAACATGAAAATACATATAAAACATGGATCTCAGCATGAAGAGTAAGTAAAGCAAGAGAAATGCATTGAAAGCAATTTCGAGCACCATTTAGAGAAAGAAAATGATTAACCCAAGAGAGCTGTGAAGGAGGGCAAGGAAAGCTAATTTCACACATACCTAGATTATTCTCCCTCCTATCCACACCAGAGTGAGTAATCCTTAGGTACAAGCATCCCAACTGCACCATGTTTTTACATTGAAATACCTCTTGTTTAAATACAAGACTTTTTTATATTAAAAATGATCTTTTTGCAGGTCTTCAAGAAACAAAATGGGGTTTTTGTTGGAAGAGCAGAGGCAAGATTATGGTCTGTCAATCTGTTTGAAATGCAACTGATGATAATTCCCTGCTGTGAGCTCTATTTAATGGATGGAGTACATATCTTGCAAGCTGCTGTGACTGGCAAGGAGGGATTTGAATTACTTGAGAACCAGAGCAGAATTGCCTTAGATTATAGTGCCTTTGATTCTATACATAGACGGGAGACTCAAAACAAAACCCTTTAAATATTAAGTTCTCTGTGATCAATATCTCTTATACATGAAAGGAATAAGGACAAGTCTTGCTTTAAGACTGCACATTAGCTGCATTCCATTGACAATAGTGAGACTTCTCAAGAAAATCATCAAATTATCTTCTACTTAATGGTGCTTGATGTTAATGAGACTGGTGCTGCACATTTAGGAACAGCACTTTTCTTGGTACTCTTCCAATGAGGCCCAATAGCATATAATACAATATTTTAAAAGCTGATTTTTCATCAAGTAAAAATAAGTTTTATATTCAAAATTGATATTTTGAGCCAAATAAACTTCATTCAGCAAGAAAGCAAATGATTTACCAAGTTTGCAGTCATATATAGCATTCACAGATCTCCACAATTATGTGTGACCTGCAATGCATAAAAAAAAACTATTGTGCTAATGATTAGGGGGATGCAACGATATTGAGCCTTTCCGAGATTCCAATAATCAGAATCTGATAGTGAATTTGAGGAAGCAAGATTTTCATATCTTCTTTCCATCTCCTGAAACAACATTCACTGCCACATTCAATTTGCATGACTTGTTTGCTTAGACCTAACCATGTCCTGGGGGTCCTTCCTTGCGAATGAATCTTTCCTCCAAAACATAAGCCCATTATAGAACAACCACACAGCATAGGCCTAGTATCGACCAGGTCACTACCAGGCGATTTCGGTCAAGAATTTCTCCCCTTGAATGATAATATGCAGGGTAAGCATGCCGATGTCATCCAATTCCCCCCGCATTCCTCAGATTTTCAATCGAGCACAAGGTACGTTTCCAGACCGAGTAGGATAACGCTGAGGCTAAGGCCTACCGTTACATCACGACTATCGATCGCTGTTGACAACGCCGCTTAGCACGACTCATTCTTTCAATGACCTCACTCCCTTCAAAAGGGTATTGTCAAACGTCGGTTACCTCATTTCCTACAAGTGAAAGATATCAATTCTAATAGGGGCAGTCACGATTCTTCCTCGACTGCATCGTTGGCGTTACGAGCCATTTGCGAGCAACGAAGGAAAGCGGCAAAAAAAAAAAATCGGAAGCGCACGTTCGCGACGATACGCTCGACTGAGCCGGGAAAAGAATGGAAAAAATCGAGGCGCCGAGATGACGGAAGTCACTTCAGCCCGGGGCGAGATGGAGCAAGAAACTGGTTCTTTTTTCATAGCATTTTTTTAAATTTTATTTTACTCCATCCGTCTCTTACGGAACCGACGTGCAGAAATCACACCGCCCAAAACAGTTTCGTCCGTGGACGCTCCCCCCCTCTCCTCCCCTTCGCTCACACCCACCAACGAAGAGGGTAGACGCAAGGACGTTCCCAAAACGACATCATTTTCTATCGATTGAATCTATCGTGTCTCGACAAACTGGAGGCCACATTATTCTTTCAAGTACCTCCATCAAATTTTCACGGGCGCCTCACGTTTCTCAGCGCATGGAAACTTCGACGAATTCAAAGATACATGAAGCAGGAAAAGTCTTCCCGCAATGACTCAACTACAAATGCCGTCTTCTCGCGGTTCCTTCGGGTTTAGGGTGCACTTTTCAAACGGCAGTTTGCCACGAATCACAGCCGTCAAAATTGCAATCACGAGATTCCGTGAAGAGGTGAAGCACCCGATGAAGGGCTTGCGAGAGACGAAGCTCTCGCCGGTTCATGAATAATTTCCTCGGGGAATTACACATCATGGTCACATCCAGGTCTTACGTTGTGGGGGAAAAAAAAAAAAAAAAACGGTGAGACTGTATCGAATGGCAGAAAACGTGGCAGCGGCAGGCCGCGTAGAACCCAAACTGCAGAAAATATCCAGAATGTGGAAGAACCGGTCCTGGGTCAAGAAGGGATCCAACTCAAACTCATCGAACGACGACCACGATAAAAAGAATTTACCAAAACGAATTTTACCGGTGAGAGAGCAAAGCGATGCATCTGACCGGAAACAGAGCGCGCATGACTCGTTCACTGTGATTTCTGATGCTTCAACTTTGAAAAGTTCTTGCGTATTAAGCACTGGGTGAAATCCTTACACACTCGGTAGGAATCTCTCTTACTCATTTGAAACGGCATGCGAAGAAAAGCATGACCCATCCACAATGCCGGATGAAGATATTCATAATTCTCACTTCAATCATTGACTCAGCCAGGAGCTGATACTTCGAAATGACAGATGTCACTCAGTTTGGAGACACGTGGCCCCATTCACAAGGGAGTAAGGGGGCGGGGCGGGGGGGTTGCAATCAATCGAAAATCACTGTACCATCGTGATAGTTCAAATTCTTACATTTAGATTCGCAGTAGCCTACGTGATGTCCAACATTCAACAGATATAATATCGCCAGATCCCAACAAATGATGCAAAAATGTCATTGATGCCCCAATTATTAATATGAAATCTAGACTTGAACTTGATAAGTCTCACCTATGAACCTTGTAGCAGAATATTCATACATTTACTTTCTACTGTTATTGGTAATTTCATTATTGTGTTTCACGGTTCCATTCTGTAATTTAAGTGCAAATAGCAAATATCACAAGAGTATTCAGAGGGTTATTCATAAAAAGAATTTGAGCTATCATTGTGTTCTGAAGGAAATTTAAAGCAATATTCAAATGTGAAAGCCACAATGCTTTTTGCATAAAGGGTTTTCATTAGTGGTCAGACATCACACCCAAGGTTTCATCAGTATTTAGATATATGGCTTTTCAATAGCAGTTTAAGATCATGCCCCATTTTTTAATGCAAAGCCAGTATCTTGGACAAGGTCTCTGCCCTTAGGTGATGTTTCTTCCTGCATGGTCCAGTAGAGGTTTTTAACTTTAAATCAGATACATACTCTGTTCACTTATGCCAATGAATCGAAAAAAGAACCTGAACAGGCCATATTCTTTGTAAACATTAGTTAAGTATTGGTGATGGATATGCTAGCCTCAACTTTTCTCTATGAAACAAATTTTTAATGAAGTGTTTTAGTTTTGTAATGTACACTTTCTTGAGGAATGTTTCATAAGACTAACGGGAGTGATTATACCTTTTCCTGAACTATTTACTTTTCTTATGCCACTTCTGACTGTGTACCTACTATCATCCTAACCCCAAACAGTATCCATATGCCTACTGCAAGGATATGCATGAATGCAAGAGTTTTAGATTCAAAGCCCATGTTATATTCATTCCAACTTCTACATTCAAGAATATAAATCTTTAAATAGTCATTGTTACTGGTACACTATAAATATATTATGAACAAAGCTCAAATGAAGCTGCTTATACTTACAAGGTCATCCATAAAAGAAGCCAAGAAAAGCCTCCAGTTGGGTGTTTCTTTCAATCATGTCAATGTATGATTGAGTAGAGAATTAGGTAATCATAGATATGGTTTCTTCCAACCCTTCCGAAAGTGCCTTAACACGTTGGCAACAATGCGTCCTGATGCCAGGATGCAGATTTTTTTCAATGAATTCTGGAATCTTCTGGAACTGTTGAGAACGTTCCAGAAGATTATGATTTCGTAATTACTGATAAAAATTCCAAAAAATTCAACATTTTAAAAAAACTCAGCAAAAAAAATGTTTTCTGGGACCATGCGTCCTGATGGCAGGACGCATTTTTTGACAAAAAAAATGTGCGTGGTCCCACGCGGCGGACAAGCAAAAATAGGCTGGTCGTCAACGTGTTAATTATTCAATCTTCCCCACAAAAGAAGGCGAAGGTGATCACTAATGAAGGGGAATACCCATCTCCTTCCATTACATCAAGCTGTGATTGAAGAGAGGTTTAGATTATTAAAAAGGAGACTGTTACTTTATGCCCTTTGGGGAGTACCTTCATCAACTCAAACTTCCCTGGGGAAGTGTCACTAATGGGGAGGGGATCCTCACCTCCAGAGTGCAATATGGATCAGTCTCAGGGATGATGGAGGGTGTCATGAGAGAGGAGGTCGAATAATGACTCAAGGGATGACGGGATGGCATCGATCCCAAGCCAAGCTGAGCCGGAGATGACACTGTCGATAAGGGGGATGCCATTGCTGATGAGTGCCTGGGTGAATGAGGTACCTGCATTTGCATTGGCACTCCCCCTCCACTCCCACTCTCCCTCATCTCAGCATCTTCATTTCCTCCCTCACACCCATAATACACTGCAGCCTGAAAAAAATTAATTATGCAAGGGGTGTAATTATTTTACTGCTGTGTACTGACTTCAAATCTGACTTCACAATAAAATTACCTCCAGAACTTCAGCAACCGAATCGGGGAGATTGAACTCCCGCACCACCCGGAGACGAATCTGGCGATTGATCTCTCGGCGTGATATCAATGGTAAATTATACGCTCTAGTTGTTGCTGGGGCACGACGGAGCTCTGAGTCCCGCTTGAGCATGGCTTCCAGTGTTTCAGGCTTGGGAACTGAGGAACCATAGAAAGTCATGAGAATGCTAGCCTTGTACAGACATGGCTTTCTCAATGTTTATTCATCCACATTTTTCATATGCAAAATGCAAACACTGAATGCCTTTCCCTATGGAGGAAACTGCTTACCAGGAATGTACTGAGCCAAAGTTTCCAGGGGAGGTAGAGAGGACATTTCACTACTTGCCACAGAGTGATTGACAGGCAATGGCCGGGGGGGCTGGCTACCTTCCAACATGTAAAGGGTGTCAGGGATATTTCCTGGCATTGGGGGCATTCGAATGTGCATGCGTTCCAAGTCCTGTCGAGGCAGCACTTCATCCAGCAGGGCCTACATTAATTCCAAAGAACATCTATTGCATTCATGCAAATAAAATAATCCGTTTCCAATGTCATAATACAATAATGAACTTCCCATTCACTCAGTTCATATCCCTAGTTCAGGGAATTATTCAGTTTCTTACTTCTTTCACTTCTCTATACGCACCAATAATTAATTTTTGAGACGAAGCCTGTATCAGGGCTGGGGAACAAAGCAATTTCAATAAGTTCTCAAAACATGGACTACATTCCTAGTCACTTCTCTTACTCATCTGACAAGACTAATAATATCCCGATATAACCTACATAAATTCTTGCACTGAAATGAAATGAAATGATTCAATTCAATCAAGTAGCTTCAATAAGCAACTATTAATGAGAATGAAGAACTATAGAAATGACTCATTTCAAACATTGTGAATAACTTGCATTTATGTACACAGAATGGAACCTCATTTCAGAGGTTTTGATGGAAGATTTAAATTTTCAACACATGAAAAGTAATCTGTAGCGACTCTTACCCGAGCCTCCTCCCAGTACGGCAAGAAGAGTCGAGGCTTGACAAAGAGTCCATTGTTCTTGCCTCTGACCCATGCATTGACCTTGAAATTTGGAACAAGGTCATCCCCAATCATATGACTGGGCGGCTTGCTGACAAGGCCTCGCTTGATGGCATTAGTCAGGACCTCGTGGGTAGGGGGTATCACATGATCCATCCGCACAAGAGGAAGAAGTTCTGAAGTGATTTCCCTCAGCTCCACGTCATTCAGATCTTTCTTCTTCACTCCCTTTTTTGCAACCGAGTGAGCTGTCTGACTCACGAGGTTTGGTTCTGCAAGAAGAATTGATTAATGGAATGAAGCAGGCAGTTTGTATGAAAGGGGAAGAAAATCATATCTGTTCAAACCAACTGTTCAAACCAAACAGTCTCCATGCCTTCCCTCAAAAACCTATCTTGTGTCAAGCTCAATTCTCAGTAATTGCATAGGAAGAAGTCAAACAAACATAAAGAAAAACATTTTGGCGCACTCAAATACAGATTACCCAGTCTTGACAATGAATCTTCAAAAGATACAAACTGCAAAAAATGATTGAGCACTAATGACAAAGGAAGTACATGACAAAAAAGGTGCATGGCAAGGCTGCTAAACTGCAGTGGCAGCAAAAAGAAGGCAACCCACACCCACCTCTATCTTCCATCCTCTTCACCAATTGATGTTCTCCCCATCTCAGGACAGCCTGGAGAACTTCCAACTCACTCGCCTGCACAGAAAATAAAAGCAACTTTGCAGAACAAAGGATTCAGGCGTGGAAGGATCCTCCCTTCCTATTTACATTTTAAATCCAGTATGCTCTAAATGTAATAATAGATATCATGAACCAACTGAGAGCTTTCATCTTGTTTCTGCTGGGAAGAAAATAAATTTAAGAAAAAGGAATTAGCATTTCCAATGTTTCCCTACATCTTATGTGGTTTAGGCCTGTACATGTGGACTCTTCTGCAACACCAGTTTTAAAGCAGAAACCAAGGGTAGGAAAGATGCAGCTCTTCAAAGAGAGACCTGAACATCACTTCTCCCACAATTCTTGGGCATCAGTTTAATCCCACATACAGAAGTCGACCAGGTGGAATGCCTTCCCGGGTATGTTTTTATGAACGAAACAACTTTCACATTAGGAGGAATTATAAATACAATGGGCAATTCAATTCTAGGTTAGTGATACATGCTGCAGGATGACCCACTGAACAACAATATGCAATTACTGAGCAACAGTAGTCACGTATCCTCCAGACTTTCAATTAAATTAACCCATTATAAACCACACTTGATAATTTCACCATTATCAGGTCTATCCAATGACACTTCCTGCTTTCTTGACACTTTCTTAAGGTTTTTCTTCAAAGGTATGATGCTATCTCTCTCCATTAGTTCACAATGCCTGCCACCAACATGTACTGCATCAAACTATACTGAATGAATGATGAAAGGAAACATTATTTTTGCAAGAGAGAAAACTCCTTATGCCTACTTGAGTTGGTATTTATCTTGTTTATCCCTCAATTGCTCACCATCCTATTCTGTAATGACAGAAAATTGCACAGTTGGGAGCTAAATAAAGATGGCTTTCCAATTATATGTAATTTTCTGTCATTGCCACATGGGATAAAGGGCAATTTGGAAGGAGAGAAAGGACTCTACCAATCCAACAATGCACATAGAGCAGATAATTTTTCTCAAAAAAGGAACAAAAAATGAACGAAAATTAAAGCAATGGCACAACATGGAGAAGCAGCAACTTCGAGCCAAAAAGAAAGTCTCTCTGGAGTTAACTACAAATCACAGGATGAGCAATTCAGGAAACGTTTCCAAGGCCCCATTGGTAGTACTAGTAGACCTATATAACACCCACCATTACTACAACAAAATTTGCAGAATATTTCAAATATTTTCAGATAACATGCGCTATCACACTAAGCCCAAACAAAATGCGTTGTAGACAGGTCTATGTCTCAGTGGAAGCAGCAACAGTAGCCACAGACATATCTAGGACACATTTTCTTCTGATGCTGAACTTGACGGTTGCCTCACGATGGGGAAGGGTAACCATGCCCTACCACATGGGATTGCGCATCTCAAACTATTATTAATTTATGCTTGAGAGGAAAATGGAACAGATAACTCGTTAGGGTCCTTGCGTAACGGACAACGATACGAGCAACGAAGTCGAAAGCTGATTAAGGCGTGGATAAATACTGCTAATGATGGCGATCTCATCGCTCCATTGTTTCTCCCCTCGCTACGGTAAAACTGAGGGGGGGGGGGGGGGGGGGGGGGGGGGGCAAAAACCGTAAGCGCAGAACACTTGCCCCTATCACTATTCACAGCTAACTCCTTCGCATGGAACGTGATCTAGATTCACCTGAAGAAAGTCGGATTGGAGGGCTTCCGCGAAGACCTCCTTATCCAGGTTGAGGAGGACGGGGGTCTGGGCGATCTGCGAGAACTCCTCACGGAGATAGGCGAGGGCCTGTCGCCGGACCCACTTGGACCCGTGGGCCTCCTGGCTCCAGCTGAGGATGGCAAGAAGGGTCTGGGGAGCCAGACTCTCCACGATCAGATCCTCGCACGCTTGGCACAGGACGTCGAGCTCCAGGAATCGCCCGATCCCGTACAGCTCCATTGTCTCTTGGAGGAGAGGCTGAGGGGATGGAGGGTGAAGGGGAAGGCTGGCGGCGCCGGGGTTCGGGCTGCACGACGGACTCGGCCGGGGAGACGGCGTCTGGGAACCCCCGACCCCACCTCCGCCAGCCCCACCACTCGAATCACTCAGTATCAGACCCAGATCCACCGTGTCCAGGTAGATGGCTGTGAGTATCACATGCGCGAATCGGAGCGGCACCACTTCCGGGTCCAAGAGGATCCGCATGGACTGATGATGAACGAGGGCGGATCGCCCTTCCAGGCTCTCTTCCGCGAGCCGGGATCGTCGAGCGATCAGGTTCCGGAAGAACGGCGAACGAGCCGCCAGAACGGCCTTGTGGCACGGCAGTTCCATCCGATGATGGAAGCCATAGTCTGAGGCCGAGGGGTCTATGGCGGAATAAGTGCTCGAGGACGCGGACATCGCTCGACAAACGCGAGTGTTGGCACTTGTGTGACCTTGAAACACGAGGAGGCAATCGGCCAGCTCCCCCGTTTCCAGGAGATACCTGGCATCACTTTCCACCGCGCAGGGGGTCCCGAACTCCCCACTCAGCCGTAGGACCATGTCCAAATTCGTCCCAGGCGCTCGAACGAGTTCCCCCGTGTACAGATACCGCAAGAGCGCACCGAAGGTGCTCGCGTCCACTCGCAGTCGCCGACCGTCGATGGGGACCTGGGCGTTGTGGCCCGAGTATCGCGAGAGCAAGTCGCGGAAGTACCCGCAGCGGACGCTGAGGATGCCCCGGTGGACGGGGAAGCACTGCCCCTGGAACAGGAGATTCACGTCCGTCGCCTGCTTCTTCTCGTACAGCTCCGCCAGGTCCTGCTTGAACCCCGAGGCCGGCGGTCGAGCCAACTGGGCCTGGGCGGCGAACTCCTTCACCATCCCCATCGCCTCGTACTCGTTCACCAGGGCCAGCAACTCCTGACCCGACCAGTCCGACACGAACTCCCGGAGCACCTTCGCGTGGTCGAACGACCGGGAGGAACGCTTGCGTTTCATCAGTTTTTTCCTCAAGGTCGCCAACCCCGTCATTCGCTTTTTCTTCTCTCTACAAAAAGAAAACAAGGAGAAAGGGTTATTTCTGCGGATCGAGATCAACTTTCACGATAGCCTCTTTCCCTCTCGGTTACCTGGGATTATTCATCTTCGCTGGTTTGCGGTGAGGGGCGATCTTAGTATGGTAATGAAGTTGGGTGAACCTCAATGGATGGCCTCCGATGGCATGGACCACGGTGGGATTGTTGGATTGATCTTCCTTTTCCAGGCCGGGCGAGGACGCACCTGCTCCCATGTTTTATTCATGGCGAACACGCGCTCCGAGTTACTCTACACGCGATTTCCATGAAATCAGCTGGCTTCGAGCTTCCCTGTCTTGGCCAACACTTTCACAGCCTCCACTGCACTGTTACCTGCTGGGAGAAGGAAGTCAAGTGTGAAAACCCCGCCCAGCGTTTCAAAGACGCACCATTTCGAGATCACAAACTTCTATTTTTTTTTCCCTTCCTCTTTTATACACAGAACCCCTAGGGCTAGACACGTTCATTCCAGGAGTGGCGCCATCCTGGTGTCACAAATAATGTCGTCGAACTTTCCTTTTCCGCATATAATAGTCTCATGGACGCCACTTTCACGACCGGGTAGAACAAATGAGAGAAGAAAAAACTCGTCAGCGGAGGGAGAAAGAGATGACTGCTTCTCCTCCACCTGGTCTTCCCGTTCGTTCTCAGGGTACATCACCCGAGTTTGATAGGAAACTCTCCCACACTCTTTCACCGGTACACAAAGAAAGCTACGGAGCGAGAGATCTCCGAGCGATGAAAGGACTACTACTGAGCGAGCGCTTCCAAACGAGGCTGGGGAGGAAGGAAAGTCCACGGAAGGAACGGGTTTCGCCATAAGGTCACGTGGCCGCCGAGATGAAACGAGAGAGAGGGGATACAGTATCGAGGGAGAGAGCGAGAGAGCACTCGAGGCACCCCTAATGGTATCCTTCCAACGGAAGAGGAGCGAGGGAGAGTGGAACGGCCATGCGAAGGTACCATCGCAGACGAGAGTATATCCAGGTGAGTCAATGACCCGGGCCCGGCGAGAACTCCATCATTGTGAGCGGACGTAACAGTCTTCGTCTCACTACGGCCGACAACCCCCCCCTTTCGATAGCACCGCTTCCGTCTCATCTCGAGAGATCTTTCCTCATCTCCCACTTTCATTCTGAGAAACGGGGAAGGAAGGTTGGTGAATGGAGCGAGGGGGGGTGCGGGGCCCCCCCAGAATGGGGCAGCGGCTCGATTCTCCGTTAGACTGGTTTTTTTTTGTTCTTTTCTGTCAGAGGCACAGTGATCTCACTCCTCGATCGTCTGGAATTTCTGGGGCTGATAGCGAGATACGAAGAGAGAGGAAGATGGAATTTTTTAAAGACCAGTTCCCTCGAAACGATCCGATCTTCCCTTCGGGATCGGATTTTCTTTCCCTCTCTCTTCTCATCACCGATCCTACCGCAGATTCCCGATTATCTTACCCCCCCCCCCCCCTCCTTATTCCCACCTCTCCCCTCGAAGACAGGATGGAAGAATGGGATAAAAGCAAATCCCTGTCCTGCAACCGGATGACATCTCTGACATATAAGCTCCTGTCTCCCCGCCGACTTTTTCCGTCGCTCATTGGGACGCACACTCCTTTTCTACCCACCACCGTATCGTCAATCTTCATTACGATATGACAAAGGTTTTCACCCAATGACGATTTTCGAATTCATTGTTTGGGCCTTACGTTGGAGAAAGGGAAATTCAAAGGGGACTCGGGAATTACGACGAAAGAAGATATCAATCACTATATATCTTGTTTAGGAAACCTTCGGTAAAACCAATCTAGAACCTACTAGGGCCGTAAATTTCGTCGCGAAGTCTGTTCGACCATCCTCTTTACATTTTTTCCGATTTAACGGAAGTGCTCTTCCTTGGGAGCGACACATGTCTAATAATACCTCAAGGAAACTTCAGCAAGTAGTAGAAAACAAAATTCTAAGGGCTACTGCTTCCTTCTGAGGAAGTGCAATCAATCATTCTTCAGTAATATAAGAAGTTACAGAATATTTTGGGAATAAATGACAGCTTTTGCAGCAAACATTGCATATTGGTCAGAAACGACACCTTCATGCTTAAAACCAAGATAGTTCTACAATTTCACATCCAAACATAACTTCACGAGTCAGAATAAACGTGCTATGTCCAGTCAGTGTCAGACCAAAAAAGTCTCTGCAGTAGAATGACTATTCACTACAAATGAAAGTAATTATTAGGTTTGTCCAAGGAACATGTTTTCTTCATGTTAAGGAGAATGGCACTCTGATTCTGAGAAGTGTATCTCCATAGTCATTCCTTACTGCTGGGTTAGACAATGTGTGCCTGCACTTAAAAAAAGATTCTAAGCTACATTCCTAGGCACTACACTATTTTTCTGATTAAGGTGAATATCGAGAACACTTCTAATAGGAAATATTGACTCTAATAGACTCTTCTAGTCTGTTTAGCTGTTTCTTGGCATTTAAACACCTAAATGGAATAAAAGTTGAGGAGAGAGGATGGAAAGACTCACATCAGTACAAAGAGTCCCATGAGGAAAAGCAAACCAGAAATTACGAGGATTATGCCTCCACTTTACTGCAAGAATGAAATCTAATTAGAGACTTAATCTGGGATAAAGGGTTAATGGGAAAGTTATAAATCCTGTGGTAGAAGCAAAGGAGGCAACAGCCAGTTTGCACATTCCACCATTTCAGCTAGTAACATGATCCAATACTGCCATTTAATGTCTTTTCCTTCTGCTATTTACATATTCTTCTGTGATGTAATAATACCTCTATCCCTATTACCCATCACTCAGTACCACTCCACAGCTTTGAAGTCTTAGTCACAATAGCCTAAGTGCACATTAAGGAAAATTGATATGTGCAAGGCATTTACATCAACTGTTTAAAATGAAATTACCAGTCATCAGCTAAGTATAAAATGAGTGCATTTTTATCCTTCTTCTGTCTCGACATGACTCACACAAAACAGATTTTAGTGAAACTATGCTTTAAAATAGGTAACAAAGCACATAGGTGTAAGCCTACCATTCTGAAATTACACAATTCTAAAAAATTAATATGAGCTGCAGAGATGCAGTAGATGGGATGAGCCCTCCTACCTTCTCTTGATTACCCTGTTAAAACTTCTGCAAGAGTTGTATTGTATACTGAGATCATGAGAGCCGCCAAAAAATATTCAGTGATCACAAATAGTTTCAAGAAATAAATTTAAAAAGAAAGGACTACCTCTATTCAAGAGCTTAGAAAGGTGGTTTTATGAAATGATATACAATAATACCCCACTTAGTGCTACCCAGTATAGTGCCCTTGATCCCGGAGAATAAAATTTTTACTGAAAACAGAAAAATCCAGAATAAAAGTAGAAAGTTATGAGTCAGAATATTCACAGCTCGACTTGCATCTCCATATATACAATGGTATAATGACCCCTTTTAGTGCTGCTTCAGTTAGTGCTCTCTTTTCCAGGAACGCATCCTGTGTGTTAAGTGGGGTATTGCTGCATTGCCTAACTAATTTTTACTTGTAAATGGCAAATAAGCAGCTCATAAGAGACAAAATATGCTTCCAGGACAGTATCCAATCTGGTTTGATTGAATATGGAGAATTTGTATTACAGAAGTGAATGCCTGATACTCCTACCTGGTATTCTGTGCCAGAAGAAATGCCTAACCTGAAAAATGGATATATACTTCAATGTCTATCCCCCTCAAACCAATTATTTACCTGTCAACCTTTTCCATTCTAAATGAGTTGGGCTGGAAGCATTATTTGTTGTTGTAGAGAGTAGGATTAAACAGACCCTCTCTCCATCCCTACCTATGTACCATTTTTAATTTAAAGTACTTTAAGTACAACCTGAGACCATAATAAAGACATACAACCTATCCATCAATGTTCAAGAAGTGGTCTGGGCACTGTAATTTTAATATTGAGATATTGACACTTTGTATCAATCATGAGAAGCCTGATAAATATTTCATGGTATCATCCACAAGCCTAGCTTAATGCTCCAATGCTGTTACATTATCCATGCAACTGTGGACTGGTCAACAAGATTGCATGCATAGGATGGGGTCTGTAGGTCTAGAAATAACTCATTTGTGCAGAATTTGGCATAATGAAAATGGGAAAGAGTAGAAGGCAAGAGGTGTAAAAATGAGGAAATAGACAAAAAGTAGTAACCTACTAAAACTATTGGCAGTCTAAGAACTACTGAAGCCTTGGTGTTGTTTAGAAAGGCATAACTGAAGCCTCTATGCTAGGCCTATCTCCTCATCCCATGGGCCCAGTGAGTTCAGAATGACTTCGTAAATATTCCAGAATGAGTTCATTCATTATTAAATTGACTTCTCGTACCCATTCCAAGATTTCATTCCCATTACCCTCCAACTCAATCCGAAAAGTCTATAAGAAGACATGCGGTCATTCCGAAAAGGTCCAAAGTCAATCCGAAAAGTTATAGGCCAACGCCTACGAGAAGGAATGATCTCTAAATCCCACTAAAAACTGAAGGGTTACAAGGTGGCTTATTTCCATTTTCAACTCGAACGTTTGACTGCTTCCAGAGTTGGCCTAATGTCAGGTCTCCGATAGGACAATACTATGCTAGACCACTCCAAAAACCCAAAACACACAGAGGCCTACCGCTGACACGGGAATCGAAAGAGGAAGAGCTAACGACACTGAATACACCATGACCACCATCGATTCGACGGGAAGCAGACGAGAGACATTGCACCACTGCTATCAAACTAAGAAGGCATCCACCATCTTGACCTGGAATACCAACGAGAGCGTGCTCTGCTGGCAGACTTCTTAACTACTGCTTGCCCCCCCACTCACGAGAGCTCGCGCCTCGCCGCATGCGGACGTTGGCTGAAAGTTCTGGGCGAGACCGGGTTATGCTTATGGTGCGTGCAAACGTGGACAGAGGAAAATAGAAATTTTCAATCAGCTGTACCCTTCTTAGCAGCAGCTCAACTTGAGTCGGGTAGGAGATCCCCGTTGTCTCGGAACGCAAACGAGACTAGTTATAATTATTATCTCACGGGAAGCCTCCAAGGTAGAATGAGACATCCAGAGACAAGCGGCCCAGAGACGCGGTAGGATAAACTTGTTCGAGCAATGTCCAAAGTGAAACCATGAGGGAAAAAATGTTTCATTCGGGGGGTCAATTGGTGACCTGATAATGAGGCAACCTAGTGACAGAAGCAGCGCTGGGCACCTGTCGCCTAACTTGAGAATTTGGTAGCATCCTGACAATTCATACGATGGCGGAGTCATTCCAGGTGATCAAGGATGGAAGAGTAACGGCTTGTATCACTCAATCTTGCCATGTCATGTGCTGGAAATGCCAGCCCCAATCTTCTTATCTCGTTGATGAGCGCGGAGTCGTGTCACGATGACATTCATGGCATGGTTGCATTTTTTTTGCGAGACAAAAAGTCGTCATTTTTCTGGAACTTCATTCCCTCCCCTCCGAAATTGGTATTTTTCCTCATTAAAGAAGCGAAAGAGAGGAGGGAGGGGTTGAGAATTACTCAGAAGACAAGGTGCGCGGCCGACTTCCGTAATTTTATAAAAGTGCGTAATGCCCCTGCAGGAGAACTTGGTTGCCCTCTGAGGATGTCGGGACTCGCCCTTCGCTCAACACTTCGCCCCCCCACCATCAGCCTTGGCACCTGCCTTTCCGCCACACTGCACTCCTTGACTCATCAGCCAAAATAAGCAATTGGAGGATGTTTCCATAGCTTGCAAAAAAACGGCCTCTGTGTGCCCTCTCTTCCCCCCCTCTCCCCGTTATCCAACAAATCGCCGCGCTTATCTCCTAATGACACATCGTGATACGGCACCAGCAGTGTTCAACTGAGGGATGGAGGGAGGTTGGGGGACACGGTGAAAGTTTCTTCTTAATGTATGAACTTGTCCCTTGGAAAACACGAATGTCTCCTTCGGGATTTCCCATGTCAATGCTGCACCTGTCGCAGATTGTCATGAGCCTCTCACCCGCCTGTATAAAGGCATTCTTGGAGACATGATGGACGGGCATAACATCTGGCACCTAACATGACTGGATTTATCCGGTTCACAGCTTCTTGGATTCCTTAGATCCCTTCAAGAAAAAAATATAAAAAATGGTAGGAATTACAAGAAATCCCATGGGAGATAAAAGCCTTTTGCCATATGTTTCTCATAAGAAATGCATTCTTTTGATTTCTTTTTTTTTTTACAGAATTTTAATCATGTGTCCACCTCATCCTGCGGTTACATCCTGATTTTATTGAACCACAATTACCTCCTGTCAGGTCATTAATAACAAAAACCCAAGAGATTAATTTTAAAATCCCAGCATAGATAGCATCAATCATACACATCCTTGAACCTTGTGCACGATTGAAGGATGCCCTAACCTTAACCCCATCAAATTCCTATGTTTTAAAAGCCAGTCAGAAATATGAATATGAATATGAATGCAGCTCCACTTTCTGGGTGCAGTGGCAAAGGGTACTTTTTGCATTCAAGCATTTTCCGAGTTAGACACGTCTATGACCAGCAGATTCAGCTCTGGCGTGGGCAATTGCAAACCCCCACCTCAGTAGAACTTTGCAATAATTTCAAAAGGAAACCTATGCTAGCAACAGTACGAGATCACTTGCAAAGAGTGAAGAATTGAATTACAACCCTAGACTGTGCAGAATCATTAAGAATGGAAATTAAATTAAGGTACAAAAAATTAGATTACAGAAAATGACAGCCAGTTGCACAGTTGCCTAATGCCAGTAACTTCTTTACACTCCCATACTCCCACCAAATATAAGCCTGTAGATACAAGATAGTCTTTTATTCCACATCACGACTTCAACTAGATTGGTTCATCTATACAAACTTTGCAATTCAAATATATAAAAATATTCATGATGATAATAATCATGATCACAGAGCCATCAAGGCTAGAATCAATGGCTGCAAGACCATTCATCCATTGTGAGCACTCACAGAAGCATCATGCAGAAGCACCCTTGGAAATACACTGCAGGCTTCTATGAAGCCTACAAAAAGCAAAAATGTTTCACATTGCTACATGGAGTATCTTATCACATTGAAGATGAACATAATCAACATCAACCACAAAAGTGTTAAAATCCTAATACTTAGGATCAGTAATTGCATAAAGACGACCTAGCATGACTGGTGGAAGCTCCTCCAAACTCAATGTTAAAAAAATATTTACACAACTATTCCACCAATAAAACAATCAAAGCAATGGGAAAAAAAGGAATCCAAATGAAATGTTTACAGGTGCATGCAGCCTGTAGGACACCAAGACATGAAAATACCTCCATCCAGTAGATCAGGAACTCCACTGTTGTTGAGTTCATCAATTTTTAGGCAGGCTGGATTACTCATAGGGGAGCAATTTGAGCAAAGAAATAAATGGCAACATCTCTAGCTGCCAGGACAAGTGAGACAAAAAACAAACAAAATAATGACAAAAGGAGATATTGGGTGTAAATAAATTTTGCTGAACTCTGTACTTATCAAAAATGAGGAAGGTCACTTCATACCCTTTTTCTTTGCAATGAAATAATTAAAATGGATCTTACTGTAGTGCTTCATTGAGTATATCATTGCTTCAGAGATACATACTAATTCTAAAAATAAAAAGATAATCATTTGAAAAACACTACATAAAACATTTCAAATTTCCCATATTACATATAAAAACCTCAAATAGATAAATCTTGTCCAGCTTCATGTTCACCCAGACCTCAGATCAAATACTCTGAGTCTATTTCCCCTCAAACTGACAATCCATATTTCAAAGTTTCAATGTTCCATGAAAGAAACAGCATATTTTCAGGACTGGACGCATCAGGTGAGAGTGCCCGTAAACAGGTCTGTGAATAACAAATACCTATTTATTTTTATAGGTACTCACCAACAACAAAAAAAACAAGCTCAAACCTGGGGCTGCAGCTTTACATAGCAAGAAAAAATCTTACTGACCTGAAAATGCAGAACAAGAATATTAGGCACAACAGTGAAAATCTTTGGATTACCCACAATACTCAATGAAATTAATGTCACAATCTAAAAAACACTCAGTAGTATGAGAACAAAAAAAAAACAATGTTACAATCACCATTCCATTTACAATGAGTATCACTGGCATCATTTTATCAAATGAAGTAGGTCTATAAATCTCCTGAATCCTTGAGTGAGACAATTTACAGGCCCCTAACCCCAGTACAGTTCCAGCTCAGTGAGAAAGGAAACAAAACAGAGACTTCATGAAACTTGCCCAAAAGTACAAAAAAATTAAATAGATCAGGAGCAAGATGATATAATTTCAGATAAATTAAGCATTATGACCCAGGAAAGATCCTAATCATGTTCAGTGGGACATGGCGAACACATTTTCATGGTAACCATGGCAACAGGAGAAGGCAGTCATTCTCATGAACTCAGCCCAAACACCTTTAGAGCATTATAAGTAGTTGAAAGGGTAAAATCTTCAGGTGATTTTCCAAGGTAGGCAGCAATCATCTCCACTGTTACTGGGAGGGAACAAGGCTCATTCCGCTGAAATGTGCAGTAACGATGCAAAAAAGACTGGGACCTGAAATGTAAATGATTGTAACTATAATAAATGCAGGATGATACTCATCAAACCTCACATTTCAGGCTTACCGAGAAGTGAGAGCTTTCTTGATATGTGCTGGGAGCTTTGATGCTCTAGTATTGGGATACATGAAGGGAGCATCAGTCTCTACAAGGATCCTATCAACTGGGAGAACTCCATCTTCCAAAAGCTTTCTCACTCCATCCTCTGACTTATCCTTCCACAGATAACCTGCCCAGAGTTGCATTTAACAAACATTACCCAGAAGGTGAAGCTCAACTTGTTAAAATGAATGGAAAGTGTCAATACACCTGTCTTAGAAGTATGAATAAATCTCTCAAAGCTCACCGGTCAATCCAAGGTAAAATCCCATGTCAAGGTATCTGAGTGCCTCTGCTTTGCTCCCAGTGAAGCAGTGCACTATAGTCGGAGGTAGTCGTTCTCGATACTTTTCGAGGATTCGAATCAGATCTTCATGTGCTTCTCTTTCATGCAAGAACAGTGGTTTCCTTATCTCACATGCAAGGCTCACCTAGAAAATGAACACAAAGATATTCCCAGCAATCTATGACTCTAAACCTACTTCCAGTCAAGTGGAAAAGGACAAATGAGAAAAGCATTCGAAAGGTAATGTAATACCTGTTTCTCAAAAGCCTCCAGCTGTACTTCAGGGGGTGAGAAGTTTCGATTGAAGTCCAAACCACACTCCCCAACAGCAACACATTCAGGGTTGGAGAGGAGATCTTTCAGCTCCTGCAGAGTGTCATCAGTCCATGACTTGGCATCATGAGGATGTACTCCTGCATGTTTCAGGATTAAGAATGTTACAGATGTATATTATATGATATTATATTCAATATATTAATATAATACATCCAATTATTGGAAATAGTGTAAAAAATTCCCTAATCAAATGGGCCTACCAGCTGTAGAGTACAGTGTTCCTGGATACAGCCGAGTGAGTCTCAAGGCTTCCTTGCTGCCATGGATTGATGTGCCTGTCACCATTATCTTCTGGACACCTGTAATATGGAACCAGTTTGAAATGTCAAGAATAGGAAGGAAGAACAAGGTAGCAGGGCTGCATGGATAAGCAGACAACATCTTCTCTGGAGCTCACCTGCATCTTTAGCCCGTTGCACAACAGCATCAAGATCTCTGGCAAATTTCTTGTTGGTCAAGTTGGCTCCAACATCAACAAGGATATAGTTTTCAATTGCTGACTCAAGTTCCTTCTCAGCCATGGCTTCTTCACCTGGTGATGCAATTGCAAGGTTCTTTGAGTGAACTGATTAAAAGCACAAGGTCTATGAGTACCAGAGTCCCCTAGGTCATGGATAAGACAAGATAAGTATACTTCTTAGGGTCATTTTTTGCATGCCATCTGTCTGCAAACTTTTGATGGTAGGTACCTGGAAGTCCTACTATTGATAAGTAAGATATGAAATACCTTTGCACTTAATTTCTCTTGGGAAGGCATGAGGTTCAAAGTGGTGTAAAAATAGGGGTTTCCGACTCTTCCATGGGCCCTAATGCTGAGGTGTGAATTAGTAATTCCCTTGCTAAAATTGATACCTATTATACTGCTATTGCACTCATTAGATGTCTCTCAAGTACTCTCAATAAAAAGGCAACAGTCTGGGGCAAGGCAGAAGGGGAAAATTATAATCTTTGCAGAAGGCATATCATAGTACCTCTGTCTTTCCAAGATGGAGTGGACAGTTGCTGACATCTGGAGAGGTGGCCCTTAGATAGCCACTGACCCACTGGATGAAAGTCAAATCTGACCCTTTGCGACTGCCTTATGATTGATAGATTATGTCTGACTGCCAAGAGCATGCCTAGAGGTGGACACATTCATTTCTCCTTCATCATGTTCCAGCACATGGAGAAAATGAAAAATATATATATAAATGAAGAAAATCATTAAAACCTAAAGAATTCTCTACATGCATCTCTGTTCCTTTTTCTCATGTGAGTGTGGGAAACCCCTTGTATGGCTCCATCCCAAAAGCAACTTTCATGTGAATATAGCCAAAATTACTCACACAAGTAAATTTGACAAAAGAATAGCATCTATGAACTATAGCTTACATCAATGCAATGAAGAACCCTTGTTATGCCAGAGATCTTGCTCACAGGTGGATAATAGCAACAGGCACCTATATAAATGAATAATATGAAGAGATGAGTACAAGGCTGACAGTCAGTGACTTACAGCTATTGGGCTTTGTCTAGGCCTAGCTCTGAAGCTAATCAAAATTTCCTTGCAGCATTGCTATAGAGTTCACACAGAAATCATGGAACAGACTCCACAACATACTGACATAAATGGACTTGCTTTGGCCAGCGATACTTTCATGGTTTTACAAACCACGACATAATTAAAATCTTGTTTTTCATTTACGTGAAAAACAAGACTTGAGTGGTGTCAAGAGACTCTAGTTCCCAAGAATTATGGTTGCATGAAGATTATCGGTATGATCATCGAATAGCGGGAAGTGAGCCTCGGGTTATAGGTTTGGAAGGAATTTTAGGCAGGTGATTGAGAATGAGAAAAGGATAGGGATGAGAATGCAACAGCCGAGGACAAAGGGAACCTTCCATGGATGGGTAACTGATTGTTGACCTGGGGGGGGAGGAACTGAACGTTTCACGCTTCTGATACGGGATTTCACGGGAATTTTCCGGTTGACACCGCTCTTTGTCAGCCTAGCCCTTCTCTGGCCTGGGCGATAGTGCGCCGCCATACTTATAATCTTTCTAGGACACCTAGCGGTTGAAAAGTCACACTATCAGTATTTTTTGCATTGTCTAGATGACCGTTAGAGACAATTGAATTCAAGGCCCTTGCATGAATTCCTTCGAGGCACTAAGTAGTCAAGATCTAGATAACTATATTTGCAAAGCCACAAAAACCATCTTTATTTATTCCCATGCCTTTGTTCCTCTCGACTCTTCCCGCACTGCGCACAATGTGTAAACGAAGGAAACATTTGGATGGGGACCTCCTGCTAAGGCGGTAAGGCGGAAGAGTAGGTTTTGCTTCTACCCCTTCTTCATTAATTCGGCGTTCCTGTTTTCTTCAGAATGCGCAGGCACGGTCGACGAGCACACGACGAAATCGTGTAAGAAAAAGAATCCTGCGAGTTGGGTGCAAACATTACGCTTTCGTGCCCCCCAACCTCGAGAATCTTGGTGCACCTATGACCCGAGGAGACAATGGAAGTCATGTGACATAAATAGACCTATGAGAGGCGGCATGGTCGATAACAAATGCAATCCAGACCTTGGTTACAAAGGACAGAGATAATCTATACACCTAGTACGTGCTTTTTCAATTGAGCTCCTCATTTTTTAGCTTGACTCAGACACGCACAATGGTTTGCTAGCTGCAGCGCCGCACAGAGGATACTTAGCTTCCCCCCCTCTCCGTACCTTTCCAGCTTCCACAGCACATTACGTATTAATTTCTATACTTAATTTTTTTTAATTCAGGATAATTTGCAATTTTTTTAAGTTGTATTTATATTTTGTAATAATCTGGCAGCCAATCGGCGCCCTGTACGGGGGGGCACCGCTCGCACACCCCTTGTTAAGCTGCACTGGCTAGCTGATATCGTCACTTTCAACCACCGCCTCACACGCTATTTAGCGGTGAAATGAAGAGCGGACTCAAATGAACTCAACTGTAATTTTTTATCATTATGATTGCAATTGATGTCTTAATAAAAATTAAAAAAAAACATCGCTAGTCCCTGTCTCGGTCCTGAGCTCTCAATTGCGTCTGCCACCAGACAATTCATTCTGAAATCCATCGAGGAGCGCTGACATCGTCCAGTAGATTCAAGATGGCGGCGAGCAACAGTTTCCGTTGTCTCGGGAAATTCATATCAGAGCTACATTATACGATGTAAGTGGGTGACAGTCACGATGATTCGATGATCGTCTGACGTGCCAAACGCACACGGTATCTTTATTCTCTGTGGTTATCTTGAGTGGCTTTTTTTCGGATTTGTTGGTCTTCAAACGACGCAGGAGACTGGCTTACTTTTGATGGATGAGTTCGCAATCTAGGCCTATGCTGTGGTAATCCCTGGGTTTAGAAATGTGTCGGGTGCTGAGGGCGCTCTGTAAACTGCGTATCGAGGCCGTGAATGATGGGAAGCAGAGAGAACAGAACGAGAAAGTGGGAGAAATCCCCGTGTTTTTCCAGCGAGCTGACAGGAATGATTGTTCTCGTGTTTGATATACACTGCAGGGAAGTAAAAACACAGATGAGGAAGCGTCTGTTGAAGGCGTTCACGACTCCCCTCTGTCCAAATAAACGCCCTAGTGTTCGACATCGCTCGCCAAAGCCTGCTGATCGAGGCCTGCGAGCCTTTGGGGATTCAGGGTTTCGTCGCGGTCTGCATAGTAAATAAATGTAATAGTTAAAGATCGTGAATAAATGTAATGAATATTTAAAGTGAAATGTGAAAATAAAATAAGTAAATAATATAAACAAAGAAAAAAAGTGAAATAAACAATGAAAAATAAATAAATAAATATAATGAATGCTTTCGACTTGGTTCGGCACAAGGTCCACGTGGAGAACTGCGAGGTCGAGGTCGCCTCGATCTTCGCGGCCCCCGATTTCAATTTTCCCATTGCTGCGAACAAAGCAAGAAGAATGATAATTACCGTAATGAGAGAAGTGACCTGCGACGGGGGGCTGGGACACGATTCGGGAAGTTCAGGGACCCCTGAAGGGACTCGGTATTTAAATAAAAAATTGTGTGAAGCAGGAAACGAAATACGCGATGAATCGAATACGCCCGTGTTTTCGCGGTCATCTGGGAGCCGATCGTACATTTGTTGAAAAGAAGGGGGAGTCAGTCGACACAATGTGCCACGTTCGTTCACCGTGCCTTGCTCCATTATGGGAAGCTGCGAACCCCCTCCCTCCCGGGGTGCCACGGACAGGAGGAGCCCGCGCGCATGCGCCGTGACGGATGCTGTTTGTAGGCAGGGAGCCAGCGTGATAAACGACTGGGTCTGGATGCTGCAGCCGGCAGAAGGGCCGACGCCCCGCTTCGTGCTTGTGTGCTCGCGGCGTGTGGTTCCTGAGTTTCGTGTGCGTTTTGGACGGGACGCGCTTCTTGTTGGGTTGCGAAGAATATCAACGAAGACATTGCGAAGGCCAGACCTGTGTCGATGCGATGGGTCTGTCGAGGGAGTGACGTTTACATGTTCGGTCGAGACATGTTGTTCAACTTTGGGATCTTCCTCGTCATCGGTAAGGCCGATTTCAGTCGCTTTTCGCCCTTTTTCATCCCGAACGGTTTCGATTCATTTGATGCTCGAAAACTCATTCGAAGATAATTAAGTCCGTGTGACGGAATACCCTTTTGATCTTGGAGTTATCGGCGTGACCGAAGCGGATCGAATGCAATGGTTGATCGATGCATTTCTTCATTATCCAAAGTGATGAAGCCATTTACGTGCAACTCCCCGTTTGAAGGGGTTTTCGTCCGGCGGGGACTCGTTTTTCTCCGGCCGTTGACGTGCCAAGGCCGATTGTCGTGATTTGTGCCCGGGGAGTCCAAATTTCGGCCCATTCGGCCCATGCTACTGCCTCCATTGTGACGGAGAAGGGTCGACCCGAGAGAAGCCCCAGGGATCGCTTTTATTTCTGTGACTACACAAAAGGGGAAAACGTAAAAGAAAAAAAAACCTGCTGATTTATGACTTCTCCATTCCGAGTTAATAGCCTTGGTTGGGACTGGTTTGGAACCCCCATGATTTGCATCCGCGTTGTCGCCGGTTTCGAAAAAAAAAAGAAAATGCTTGCCCCTTTTTTGTGTCTTTTTCGATCGGTTTCCTGTCCTTTGTCTCAGTCGGTGGAATCGATTTCTCTCAAAGTAATGAGACGGGGGGAGCTTGATCAGGAGAAATGCTGAGTAATCTGGAAGCCAATCTACCCCATCCATTGTGTGGGAAGTCATCGGTGTCTCCCGGCCTCCGTGCCGCTGTCGCCTTCCCTCCGTGCCGGTGTCCAACCCTTTCCCCTCCCATCTCTTCCCTCCTGCGAAAGGGCGACGGTAGAAGCACCGTGAGGTCGTTTTTCACCGCGTGCTCGCCGACCGTGAAATGATGTCGGGGATTCTACCGGAAAACGCCTTGTACCCCACAAACGACTCAAAAACATCCAATCAATCATACCTCCCCTTTTTTTTCAGTCGGACTCCACCCGTGCCGGCCCCTGGACGACTTCTACTTCAGCGTCCAGCCGGAGGACGCCACCGCGGTGGCGGGTCAGAACGTCACGCTGCAATGCCGCTCCAGCCGCGAAGCCTCGCTCCGCTACTACTGGCAACAGAACGGACGGGCGTTCCGGAACACCTCACGGCGGCACCAAGTCGGATCGTCCCTCGTCTTCACCCGCGTGGACCCGGAGAAGGACGGGGGGCACTTCACGTGCATCGCGGAGAACACGACCACGGGGTTCTCCCTCACCTCCAGGGGCGCCACCATCGACATCAAATGTCAGTCCTTTCGGCGTTCGAATGGGGCGTCGATCTGCATCGGCACTTAGTTCCGCGTTTTTAATGGTTTATTAACGATGAAATGATCCATGACAATTTTTAAAATTTGATGGGACCTGCGATACACTTGGAAGCTCGCTTGTAATTTGTGCTGCGTTCTTGGGAAAGTTCCGCTGCACGCACAAAAAAAAAATTTGGAGAGAGGGGAGGGCCTTGTTCCCCGGTGCCAGGCTGTTCCCTTGTTCCGCAGGGGGTCCCGACCTTTGTCACAGGGAGGAAAGTTATGTAAATTCCCTTAAGTGCCCTGCTGTCATTCCTGAAGACCCCCCCTAAGGGCAGAACCTGTTTAAAATGTATCCAGGCAGAGCAATGGGAAAAAGGGAGTTGCGCTCAATCAACTCGGGACAGGGAATACCTTTTTTTTTTTTCCCTTCATTTTCTTCCTTTATTTTTTCCCTCTCGATAAGGCGCGGCATTCACTTTGAATCGTCCAGGGTGATAAGCGCGGATACGTCACCCTCCTCCCTCTAATTGCACTTGGCTTTTTATCCTATCCCATCCCTCCGGCTTTATACGTGTCATCCCGCCCCCTTATCGTCCTTTTCCCTGCTGCAATCTCTTCCGACCTCGTTAGCGGCAGATAGGAGACCGTGGCTTCGTTCATTCATTTTCCTCAATGCCAGTACTCATAACAAAGAAAGCATGCAAACCCGTTGAGGATTCTTTCCCATTGTCTCCAGTTGGGAAAGCTTTAACGACTGCGTTTGTCTGCGGAGTATTTTCTCTCCCCTCCCCCCCCGAAATTTTTTTTTTCATGTCGGTCCGAATAAGTTTCAGCTCCGAGACAGGACTCGTCAGGGAGATTCGAGCTTTTGTTTACAGTAGAGGCACAATGGGATCGGGTTGGCGTCAAAGGAGGGAGGGGGAAAACTGCTGTTAACGTGTCATTTCCCCCTCCCCCTTCGCCTTCCCCCCCTCCTCCCCCCTCCCCTTCCCCCTTGAATTCCTCCCCTAATGCTTATGTCTGACCGTCTCCGGGCGAGTGGGAAACAAAAAAATTCTTCATTAAATCAGTCAACCGGGTGGAAAAACCCCAACTATTCCGGGTCCTTTTTTTCCTGTCGGGGTCATTGGAGCCCCGGAATGAATGGTGTAATCGACTGCCGGCATGCTTTTCCCACGCCGAAGGGGAAGAAGACGGGAAAGAGAGAGAGAGAAGACGGGAAGCCTCTCAATTGAATCCGTGTGGATGCCCTGTAATTTCTCGTGATGGATTAGGTCGAGGAAGGTTGAGAGGAGGAATGGGATTGTATCTGTGTTGTGTACTTGTGTCTCGGTTGTGTGATCCCTTGTTAACATTTTTTTTTTTTCCCTTTCCCATGATGGATCTCCCATGAACGCCCGGGGCGAACGAATGCATGCGAGAGGCCCCCGCCCCTTCTTTTCACGAAAAAAAAAGAGCTTATCCGAATCGTGATTATTCAATACGCGTTTGATTGCAGCATGCGGGGGGAGGAACCGAAGAAGAAATTGAGGGGAGTGGGAGGCGCCAATAAAAAATTTTCGAGGGGGGACAAAGAGGAAATTTGGGGATGGGAGGGAACAAAGGGGAAATTTGGGGATGGGGAAACTTAACCTTGGTGGAAAGGGAGCACGAAGGGATCCCTTTAGAGGTAGAATATAGTTCATTGGGATTCTGCTGTCATCCGGAAGATTGTGGCCGGGTTTTGACCCAGGTTTTCACGTCTGCGGTCTCTAGAGTCATAGGAAACCTCATGCCATGCATGTGAATGGGCGCATTATTCCATACGGTCTGCGGCTTTTCCTGTACGGACGGATCCATTCTGCGGCTTCTCGAGCCGGTCCTTTCACCTGGCCCCGTTCGATAGTGGCATCGCCACGGGATGGATGGGAAAAATAATCATTCTTACCCTGTTCGTCTCCCCCGTTCCTCGGAGGATATGATTATTGCCGCCACCCGCGAAGCCGTGATTCCGGGGCCACTCCGTAATCATCCGAATTCTTCGTCCATCCGTCATCCGAATAACGCGTGCCGCACCTCCTCCGCCGCTCGGGTGATTTATCACGGCTCAATTTTTCACATTTCCCCGGGAGTGATTTGCCGGGGGCTTCCTCGTTCGGTTCGACGGTGGCAAGGGTGAAAATCGATCCGAGACCGGAAACCATGTGGATGTAATCATGTAAAGCGATCTCCGTGAAACGAGATGCCTGTCTGCGGGGAAGGGAAAAATAAGAAATAAAAAAGAATCTCGAGGTCAACAGACGCTCGGTTAATGAAAATGCGATGACTCTGCTGTTGATGCCTTTTTTTTTTTAGGGCTCGGTTGCGCATGGGAGTGGCCGGTTTTGCATGGAAACTTTCGTGTGTCTCAGGGAAATAGAAAGAGGAGGCAATTTCCGTGGCCCAGATATATCAGGATTTCCCCTGGGTTTCTTCCCCATCTCGGGGATCAGATACCCTGGTATGAGATATAAATAAATATATATACTATATATATATATATACGCTGGGATAATTAATGTCACTGATATGCAACGGCGGGCACGTCCAGGCCATGCGGTGCAGCTGCGTTCTCTCTTTCTTCTCCCTTTTCCTTTGTTTCCACGGTTTCCCCCTGCGGAGATTCTTGATGAATTGATCAGTGGCCGATCAATCTTGGCTCGGAGGAGGTCAGGGGTACTTCCACGTGTAATGGCCCTCCTGCTATGAAATTCCATCTCCCTTCATTCCAGGGTTCCTTTTTTTTATTTTTTTCCTTTTCGTTTCTCTTTTTTTTTTTTCCTTTTGGTCATTTCGCTTTCTCTGGACGGTTGTTCCCGTCGAGCTTTTTCTCCCACCAAGGTTAATCGTATTCACGGTCCGTGGCCCGAGCAGGAAGGGAAAAAGGCGAATTAGTGGCGAGTGAGAGAGAGGAAAGGCTCGAAAAAAAAGTGAGATGATGGGGGATCTGTCACACAAATCAGGTTTCGTTCCGCCCCCCGACATTATTACAACAGCTCCTCTTAGTCCCCATTAACCTCCAGGAACAGGAACCATAACCCAGGGCACGAATAGAAAACGTTGAACCCCCTCTCCATCCTTTCATTGCCATCGTGAAATTTTTTCGTTGTTGATGTTGACGCCGTGCGTCGAGGAGAGGCGCAGCTGCAGGGAGGAAATGAGGTGTCAACCGCCAAATGATTTATCCCTCAGTCACAGTTTTCCCTCATCTCGTCTTCGTTCATCATGCTTTTAAGAGCTACAAAC